ATGTAGACTCGTGAACATTTATATTTGTCCAGATTATGGAAATGCCTTACTGTTCTGTATAAAGAGTTATATGAGGTTTGTGTTCTAAGGTTTCTGCACTCAACTACATGTCATATGGGTTATATAAAAAAAGGCACCAGCTGTCATTTGCTACACACAGACACAGAATGGGTCCTAGGCAAGATAATAAGTCTGGTCTCCTCCACCCCAACCCCCTAATCCTTTTGATTGACATTGCTAGGAGCTCACACTTGCATAGAGAAGCTGTCCCATTCACATTGTCTGCATGGCATGACTTGCCCCATGCTAATACAGAGTGTAAGTGCACAGTGATATTCCCCCTGATTAACTGCAGGAGTATGAAGGTTTTTATTCAGTCTCAGGATGTCCAATGGGCCCTCAGCACCAGGTAGGGTTACCTTGTAGACGATCCCACTCTGGCTATATATTACCTACTCTACTTGATTACAGGTGAAACTCAAAAAATTAGAATATCTTTCAAAAGTTCATTTATTTCAGTAATGCAACTTAAAAGGTAAAACTAATTTATGAGATAGACTCATTACATGCAAAGCAAGATAGTTCAAGCCGTGATTTGTCATAATTGTGATGATTATGGGTTACAGCTCATGAAAACCCCAAATCCACAATCTCAGAAAATTAGAATCTTGTGAAAAGGTGCAATATTCTAGGCTCAAAGTGTCCCACTCTAATCAGCTAGTTAAGTCATAACACCTGCAAAGGGTTCCTGAGCCTTTAAATGGTCTCTCAGTCTGGTTCAGTAGGAATCACAATCATGGGAAAAACTGCTGACCTGACAGTTGTGCAGGAAACCATCACTAACACCCTCCATAAGGAGGGAAAGCCTCAAAAGGTAATTGCAAAAGAAGTTGGATGTTCCCAAAAGTGCTGTATCAAAGCACGTTAATAGAAAGTTATGTGGAAGGGAAAAGTGTGGAAGAAAAAGGTGCACAAGCAGCAGGGATGACCGCAGCCTGGAGAGGATTGTCAGGAAAAGGTCATTCAAAAGTGTTGGGGACTTTCATAAGGAGTGAACTGATGCTGGAGTCAGTGCATCAAGAGCCACCGCACACAGACGGATCCTGGACATGGACTTTAAATGTCGTATTCCTCTTGTCAAGCCGCTCCTGAACAACAAACAACATCAGAAGCGTCTCTTTTCTGATGAGAGCAACCTTTGCATCTCATTTGGAAACCAAGGACCCGGAGTATGGGGGAAGAATGGAGAGGCACACACTGCAAGATGCTTGAAGTCCAGTGTGAAGTTTCCACAGTCTGTGTTGATTTGGGGAGCCATGTCATCTGCTGGTGTTGGTCCACTGTACTTCATTAAGTCCAGGGTCAACGCAGCTGTCTACCAGGAGATTTTGGAGCACTTCATGCTTCCTTACGCAGACGAGCTTTATGGGGATGCTGACTTCATTTTCCAGCAGGACTTGGCACCTGCCCACACTGCCAAAGCACCAAAAGCTGGTTCAATGACCATGGGATTACTGTGCTTGATTGGCCAGCAAACTCGCCTGACCTGAACCCCATAGAAAATCTATGGGGCATTGCCAAGAGAAAGATGAGAGACATGAGACTGAACAATGCAGAAGAGCTGAAGGCCGCTATTGAAGCATCCTGGTCTTCCATAACACCTCAGCAGTGCCACAGGCTGATAGCTTCCATGCCACGCCACATTGAGGCAGTAATTGCTGCAAAAGGGGCCCAAACCAAGTACTGAGTACATATGCATGCTTATACTTTTCAGAGGTCCGATATTGTTCTATGTACAATCCTTGTTTTATTGATTGCATGTAATATTCTAATTTTATGAGATTGTGCATTTGGGGTTTTCATGAGCTGTAAGCCAAAATCATCACAATTATGACAAATCACGGCTTGAACTATCTTGCTTTACATGTAATGAGTCTATCTCATATATTAGTTTCACCTTTTTTAAGTTGCATTATTAAAATAAATGAACTTTTCTACGATATTCTAATTTTTCAAGTTTCACCTGTATATGTACCAACACATTTTGAAGTTCTTTACAGAATACATAATAGAAACATTCATATCAGCCCCTTCCGCTAATGCATCTATCACAGCCACAGAGACTCATGCAGAAAAACGTACCTGAATGTTTTTAGATTCTTTTATTCTAAGAGTTGTAGTATATGTTAATAATAAACAAGTGAGAAGTAAACTAAGGACCCCAGCACAACAAGGCCACATTATGGTCATGTGTACAGTAGTTCGCAAACCTCTTTGTACTAAATCCACAAATGCTTGTCTTAGATGCCATAATAGTCCTTTTCATACTATAAAAAGTGGGTTTCATTTTAATGGTAGGGTCTTGTGTTAGCATTGCTGTGGATCACTGTCTTTTTCATTCAAACCATGTTACTCTCAAGCACATACATTCAAATGCAAACCACAGCAAAAGTCTGTGTTTGACCAGCTTTGCCTTTAACATGCATGCATCTCAATAGGTCTTGTTGCATCCAGAGACACAAAGCGTATCCACACTGCACCATTGAGGTAAATAGGAATCTGCTAACCTGCAAAAAAACAGCACTTGTGTACACAATTCCTTACAATATTTGACAGAAGATTTTTTTTTTTTTTTACAAAGAAGTCACTACACATTAATTTAAATTGATTGTAAAGGCTAAGTTTTTTTTGTTTTTGTTTTCTAATATCAGATATGTTATACTTACCTGCTAATGGTATTGCACAGAGTGGCTCCAAACCATCTCTTCTGGAGTCCCCTACCAGTGCTCTTGGCTACTCCTCTTCTCTTCTTCCTATGGGGTGCATGTGTGGGCTCACTCCGGAGCTGGGATGTGTGTGCGTCCATAGACACACCATTGCTGCCTCTCTGTCCCGTGAATGCAGGGGAAATGAGAGAGCTATCATAGATGGGCACAGCGCTGGATCGAGTGAAGACTCAGGTAAGTATAAGGGAAGGTGAAGGGGTGATACAAATACTGGGACATTTTTCCACTTTAAGCCCTCCTCCATCCTCCCCTACCATATTTGGCATATCATTTTTGGGGGGAGCAGGTACCTAGTTTGGACAGGTACCCGTTCCCACTTCAGCTTGGATTGCCTAGGCTTTCAGAGTGGAAGTTCTCCTCCCTCCCTCCCTGCACTCTTCTGGGACACATCACAGGTCCCAGAAGACTTTGGGACCATTCACAAACAGCAGCGCAGCAAGCGCATTTGCAGCGGGCAGCCAGCTGTAATGCCAAAAGCAGCATAGTTGGATGTCCACGGTTAGGATCTCAGAGTCAGGAGCCCAAAGGCTAGTGAATAACTAGCCTGGGTGAGGACAGCACTGGATCCCTGGACAGACAAGTATCCTTCCATTAAAAGTCAGCAGCTACAGGATTGCAGGGAATGCATTAAGGTAAAACATATCCTGGCATTAGAACCACTTTAAGTAAAGAAAACAAATTAGAAGCTGATAATGGTGATCAAGTACTAGCCATAAATGATATCCCCCACTTACAAAGGCATATTGTAAGTCTACCTAACAACTTTTACCTATGATAAATATCTATATATAATTAAATTCAAAATATACTCTAATTTAAATAGTGAAGTACACATAATTGTAAGTAATTAGGGAAAATAAGGCTCTTGATCTTGCAACGAATAGAGACGGACTATGGCTAATGAGTGGTGTTGAGTCATTGGTTATTAAAGTCATTACTGCCTACCTTCCCATGTCCATCATAAAAAAAACAAAAACATAATCAGAACATCTCAAAACATGTTTTCTGTGAAAACTTAGATTCCTGTATACTGATGTGATCTTGAATGGGTTAAATATGTGAAATGCCCTTGCTCAAACACTCTTCTCTTTTTTTTCCAGAAGGGTGCGGTGCTTGGCTTTATGCTTTATGTATGATACAGCACAGCAACGCGTCCCAACATGTGACAACAGATAATACAGAACATTGACTTCTGCTTGCGTAATTAAATGCTAAGGACACACAGAGAAATGAGTGACAGATTTTAAGAAAAATGTTGATGCAAGCCTAAACAGCAGCCAAAACATTAGAAAAAGAAGTCTGAGGTGTACAAAGATACAGAGCCCAACAAGTTCCAATGTATTAACTCATTCCTCCACATGAGCACTGTTTCTCTCCCATGGTGAGATAACAAAAATTACTTTTTTTGTTTTAATTTTACCAGTTTGGAGTGCAGCATTGTTCTAAACTTTGTGCTGGACACCAGCTGGTGGGACTCTTCCTACTGGGATGAATTGAAGATAGTTTGAGGGGCCCGAAGCAGTACTTGTTTACAATACAGGGAATTGACGGTAAGATTGCCAGGTACCCTGCATGATGATTTGTTTGTTTTTTTATCCACAGGCTCAATAACCCTGGCAATTAAAAAGTCCCCCTCTACAAATTTGTAAACTAAAGTCTATGAAAATGTTACTTATATTGGTCAATAATATCAAATAACGGTCTTGGTAAGTATTGCCCTAGCATGTACAGCATTCAACAAAGCTTCATCTCTGAATAGTGATACTCTGTCCTAATAATAAGTATCCCAGGAGATAAACTATATGCCCACTTTCCAAGCCCACCTTGATGCCCACCTTCAAGGATAACATTGTGGATGTTTCCATTTCTTAGAATTTCTGTGCCCTAATGTTGGTGATAATTTCAACCTTGTAATATAATTACCGTATTTTCCGGCGTATAAGACGAATTTTTAACCCCTGAAAATCTTCTCAAAAGTTGGGGGTCGTCTTATACGCCGGTATATACAGCATGCTGACACTTGGTGTCAGGGCGGCACTTTTAAAGGGGGGCAGCGCGGTGCCGCCGCCACCCCCCCTTCCAACGGAAGGGACACTAAGTACAGGGGCGGGCAGGGGGCTGTTGTTTCTTACCTGGCTCTGGTCCCAGTCCCACAACGATCCAGTCCAGGAAGCGCGGCTGCTCCTTGATTCAGTTTGGCCGCTCGGTGTTCACATGGCCGCTCGGCTCCGCCTCCTGGCGCCCAATCTCCTCACCGGTGATTGGGTGCCAGAACTGTAGCTCAGGAAAGGCACACAGGCGGCCAATCACGGCGAGCAGGCGGAGCCGATCGGCCCCCCCCCGCAAAAATCGGGTGAGGGAGCGGCCGGTAAGTGTGCCGTGCAGAGGTGCTGCTGCAACCACGTATGCTGGCTGCAGCAGCACCATGCTGGAACAGGGGTAGCAAGTGTCATTGGTGTCAGTGGGAGGAATAGTGCCCCATCATTGGTGTCACTGATACTAATGATGGGGCATTATTTCCTCCCACTGACACCAAACGATGGGAGCACTATTCCTCCCACTGACACCAATGATGGGGCACTATTCCTCCCACTAACACCAAAGATGGGGCACTATTCCTCCCACTGACACCAACGATGGGGCACTATTCCTCCTCCCCACTGACACCAATGATGGGGCACTATTCCTCCCCCCCAATGACACCAACAATGGGGCACTATTCCTACTCCCCACTGACACCAACGATGGGGCACTATTCCTCCCCCCCACTGACACCAAAGATAGGGCACTATTCCCCCCACTGATACTAATGATGGGGCACTATTCCTGCCACTGATACCAATGATGGGCACTATTCCTGCCACTGATACCAATGATGGGGCACTATTCCTCCCACTGATACCGATGATGGGGCACTATTCCTCCCACTGATACCAATGATGGGGCAGGATTCCTCCCACTGACACCAATGATGGGGCGCTATTCCTCCCACTGACACCAATGATGGGGCGCTATTGCTCCCACTGACACCAATGATGGGGTGCTATTCCTCCCACTGACACCAATGATGGGGCACGATTCCTCGCTCTGACACCAATTATGATGGGGCACGATTCCTCGCTCTGATACCAATGATGGGGCACTATTCCTCTTACTGACACCAATGATAGGACACTATTCCTCCCAATAGGAATAGCACCCCATCATTGGAATACCATACTGAAATACCATACCATATTGAATTCAATTCTGATGTTTTTTAATTTTTATTTGGTGTGCGTTGGAAGAGGGGTAGTCTTATACGGCGAGTATAGCACAAACCCTATATTAAGGGGTCGTCTTATACTCCCAGTCGTCTTATACACCGGAAAATACGGTAGTATTATTAAAAAATTATGAATTATTAATTCTCACAGTAGTTATGTAAAACTTTTATTTGTAATTGGAGTGGTATAAAAATAAATCTTCCATGTCCCACTTAAGAGTCATGCATACAATGTACTGTATATCTTAGATAAAACTAGTAAAGTGAGCGCTCTAGATCAGCAGCTGTAAGACTAAAGGTAACCACAATAAACCTTCAAATTGATAAAAAATGTATAAAGTGCAGCACTAATAAATAAACGTAGGTATAAAATATGTTTATAAAGCTCATCCAGTGTAAGAAATAAATAATGGATAAAAGAGTTCATATAACATTAAGTGGATGATCCTCTCAGCAGCAGATTTCTAACAAGCTTGTGACTGGAACCAGTGGTAAAATTGCGGCGGCGATGTAGTGTGCACACGCCATCTCCCCTATTTAAGAAATGGATGTCAGTCATGTTGCTGTTAGCCTGCCCTCTTATGATATGCTATGCACAAAAGGCCTAAGGAGGAGCTGACAGAACATGACGTCACTGCTGCCGGAGCCATGAGGAAGCCCGGTGGCCATATTTATAGGGTCAGTGCTGCTTAACTCTGCATTTATTTTTTTGGAAGTTACTGTGCAATACTACCCTGTTTGAATTAATTACTTTTACTGGAATAAATGTTTTTGAAAGGGAGCCCTGTATCCAGGCTGAGCACCCATCCATCCTTAAGGGGACCTCTGGACCTAGCAGATTTCCTTACTATCCCAAGACTTGATGACCAATCCATAGAAGGAAGCTGTTAGGAATGGACTGGCCAGCAAATGGTGGGACTCACCTGCCTTTTGATCTGCAGTACCAGGCTAGCCAGCGGGTGTTCCCTGCAATCAGAGACTCAACTTTGCAGCCAGCTAACACCTGTAACTGATGATGCTGGGGGTATTTAAGGGATGGCCAGACCCACAGACTCTGCCTTGGTGTTGTGTTTCTCTTGGCCCTGTATCCTGTTCCTGCTCTCCCTGTCTGATTCTCTGCTACCTGTCCTGATCCTGGCTTGTGACCCTGACCATCTCTCTGCTTGACCCTCTGTACTACGCTGCTTGCTACCTGCTGAACCTGGCCTGTGACCCCCGACCATTATCTGCTTGCTCCCCCTGTACCTACCTGCCCTATTGATATTGACCCGGCCTGCCTGACGACGCTTGCTTGTATGTACTGTTATCTGTGGGTGGTTGGTTGGGTTTGTTTGCACTGTGTTATGTATTTTAGTATTGCACTGCGTTTATGTTTTGTATGGTTAGTGTTAATAAATTGTATTGTTTATCACATATCTGAAGTCTGCGTTTCCCTGCATCAGTCACACACCTCTGGTCATACCTGGGAGCCCTGACAGAAGCTCACCACATACCTGAAACATTCCACCTACTTTAGAGATCCTGGTGGTTATACATATATGCGCATTACCGCATTGCTGAGAGGATCATCCACTTAATGTTATATGAACTCTTTTATCCATTATTTATTTCTTACACTGGATGAGCTTTATAATGTATTATTTTATACCTACGTTTATTTATTAGCGCTGCACTTTATACATTTTTTACTGTATATCTTAGTTTATTTTTTAAATGGGGTAATATTTGGATATGTATTTGAGATCCCATTAATACAAAAATTAAATATAGTGGTTTCTAGCTGTGAGTGCCGAATCCTTTATAGATGTCACACATTATGGCCTTAGCAGGTATAGGCTTTCACCAATGGTCAATGCCTTAACCGGTTCCCGCCCGGCCTATGGCCGAATGGCGGCCGGCAAAAACCCTCACCGTTCCGGGTGGATGCCATATGGCGTCCTTTCAGGCATGTGCAGTTTGTGCGCCTGCAGAGCTGCACAGCGGCGCGATCGATCTGTAACTGGCTGTGTACCTCGGACATGGCCGATGACAGATCTGAGTACCGGCCCCGTTGCCGGTACCATGTGACCTGCTGTGACCAATCAAAGCAGGTCACATGACAGTTGTATACAATGGATGGCTTCATTCATGCCATCCATTGTATACTAGTGTGTCTAGCTGTGAATGGTCACAGCGATCAAATGCATAAGCTGGGCCAATCACAGCCCATCTGTGTCATGTGATTAGCTGTGGCCAAATCACAGCTAAGCAAAAAAAAAAAAAAAACCCTGAATGAATCAATGTCATTCAGGTAAATGCTTGCTTATAGCAAAGTAAAAAAAAAAAATACTGATCAATTCCGCAAAGTAGTACAATGTTACTGTGGTAACATTGTACTACTTTGGTCATAGTGAAATATGAAAAAAAAATCTTAAAAAAAAAAAATAAGTTATAAAAAATTAAAAATAATAAAAAAATTAAAAAAAAAAAAGTATATATTTTTTTTCATACTGTCACCAGTCAGTGTCCCTGATCACCGCCATGCCAGTTATATTATGATGCTGTACTGCACTGGTGACAGTATGTAAAAAAAAAATTGTGAAAATAATTTTTTTAATTTTTTCACTTTCCGAAAAATTATGACAAAAAAATACAACTTCAAAAAACTCGCCATGCCTCTTATGAAATACGTCGGACTGTCTACTTTGCAAAAAGGGGTCATTTGGGGGATATCTGTACTGTTCTGACATTCTTGGACCTCAAGAAATGAGATTGACTGTCACTACTTCAGGATTGATCAATATTCAGATATATCCCATAGTTTGTGAACTCTATAACTTTCCTACAAACTAAAAAATACATCCTAATTTGGGTTATTTTCACCAAAGACATGTAGCAGAATACATCTTGGCCTAAATTTATGAAGAACAATTATTTATTTGCAAACTTTTATAACAGAAACAAAGAAAAACATGGGTTTTTTTTTTTCAAAATTTTCGGTCTTTTTTTGTTAATTTAGCAAAAAAATAAAAACCCCACAGGTGATTAAATACCACCAAAAGAAAGCTCTAGTTGTGTGAATGATAACATTTTAGTTTGGGTACAATGTTGTATGACCTCGCAATTGTCATTCAAAGTGTGAGAGCGCTGAAACCTGAAAAATGTCCTGGGCAGGAAGGGGGTAAAAGTGCCCTGTATTGAAGTAGTTAAAAGTGCCCATTCTCCACAGTGACCCCCTGGAAAATTGGGCTGCATGTCAGCTCCTAGGCTGTGGTCCTTAGCACTGCCCCACCAATGACATATTAGGGGCAGATAAGCAATCATTAAATGGAACAGCCCTATTCAAATATAACCCAGAGGTTGGGATAGATGGCAGACAGGTCCAATCAATGTACTAGGAAGGTTTCCCCAGATGGCAGACAAGTGACAGAAACTAGGATCCAAGCTACATTGCAACCAGAACCAACAGTTCTGGTGTGGGTATTAGAAGACAAAGAAGAGTTGTAACCAGAGTTTCAGTACACTGGCCTAAGCGATGTGCAAACTGAAATGAATTTAATTTAAATCTGTCTAAGGAAGACATCAGCAGTATGTTGAAGTTTACTGACACTGCCATTTTGCCATTTTGGATATCACTAAGGGTGCAACTATAGGCAAAGCAGACCACATTAGGGAAGTTGTCAAGGCAAATAAACTACAGTCTAGAAGACACACTTGAGGAGTCATGAGTATTGATAGTCACAGTTCCCCTTTGCTGAAAAAGAGTGGGGAGCTGCTAAGTACTGACCTTGTAATTTACTGGGAAATTAGGTTAAACGTGAATTTCCTGCACTATTGCTCTTCCCATACAACTTCTGCCCACAACACTGGACCCTAGTAATGTACTGACTACGCTAACATTACTCCTGCTACCTGTCCTTGATGGCATACTTTATGTTAGTATCAGTATTTTCACAGCTAAATCTTCCGATGCCATAGAGCTATGTCACAGAGCAGCTTATAAAAAGCTTGCTATGAGGCCCCATGATCTGTAGTTGTTACAATCATGCATCCAATAATGCGATATCCACATGTTGTAGTTCGCACTACATATTTTAGCAAAATTATTTTCCCCCGTTTTTGTCCCTTTAGTTTTACATTTTCATACTTTTAGGATAGAAATAAATTATGAAAGTTCTCTGCCTAACATTAATGCTGACAGGAGAATGCTGACAGCTAAAGGTCCTCCAGTGGTGTCTCTGACTTATAATCACCAGAAAAGACTGATCTGGGACTTACCGTATATTTGTTAGAGGAGAATGATGTAATCGCTATTCCAACATTTGTATTTGATAAGGTAAGTTTCTTGGCTGTCATGCTGATTCTAATGTGTCATTGCTTTCTGAATCACTGACGCAGAAAAATACACGGATTAAACAAATTCTGGCACTTCTCTGACCCTCATTTATAGCTTGCTTGTTGGGGTATGTGACTCAAATGTATTGAAGCTAGATAGCTAAGAAGCATTTTCCGAGGAGGCCACCAATGGCTGCCCCTATACTTCTTTCATGGCTGATGTACCAAAGAAATGGAATGTGAAAAAATACTACAAAATACAGTATGTCTTTTAATATAATTTTTGTGTTCAAAAACAAACTTCCTAGCAGATTACTCTGTCCCTCACACTTCTGCTTATTCTTTCTGTAGTTCCTGAAATTCCAGTGCCATCTTTGCTTGGCATCTGCTTCCTGGACCACACAGTGGTCCACATATGATATGAACCAATTCTGCATATGTGTACGTATAAACTGTGTGCTAAATGGAGTACAGAGAAAAAGCAGTGCTTGATCACAAACCTGCCCCTTGCCAAGTGCAACTTTTGCGGTTGGCTTAGGGTAAAGGTTGGGTTTAGATATAGACGGTTAGGGTTAATGAGATAATTCAATATTACGTAATGTTACATTTTATATAATGCAACTTACCAGTCCTTAGATGTGGTGACTGTATTTGTTCCCTTTTTATTCAGGCTTTTTTCCCTTTGTTTTTAACTGGTGATCCTGCTAGTTACACACTACCTCTTAAAAAGGAAGAATGTATTGTTCCAAGTCCACTTACTGCTCAGCCACAACACAGGGTGCAGGTGTGATTTGTGCTGGATATACTGTCTATAACAGTGGTTCTCAACCTTCCTAATGCCGCGACCCTTTAATACAGTTCCTCATGTTGTGGTGACCCCCCAATCATAAAATTATTTTCATTGCTACTTCATAACTGTCAGTGTGGGGGGTGGAATAGTGCCCCATATTAGTGTCAGTGGGGGGGGAGAATAGTGCCCCATCATTGGTGTCAGTGGGGGAATAATGCCCCACCATTGGTGTCAGTAGGGGGAGGAATAGTGCCCCATCGTTGGTGTCAGTGAGGGGAGGAATAGTGCCCCATCATTGGTGTCAGTGGGGGAGGAATAGTGCCTCATTGTTGGTGTCAGTGGGGGGAGGAATAGTGCCCCATCGTTGGTGTCAGTGGAGGGAGGAATAGTGCCCCATTGTTGGTGTCAGTGGGGGGAGGAATAGTGCCCCGTTGTTGGTGCCAGTGGGGGGGGAATAGTGCCCCATTGTTGGTGTCAGTGGGGGGAAATAGTGCCCCATCATTGGTATTAGTGACACCAATGATGGGGCACTATTCCTCCCACTGACGCCAATGATACTTACCTTGCTGACCCCTGATCCAGCCTGGGCTCGCTCCCTCTCCCATGTACAGCCAGCATACCTGGCTGCAGCAGCACCATCTGCACGGTACAGACACTTACCAGTCAGCTGTCTTCTCTGGCCGCTCTCCTCCTCTTCACTCGCTCCGGCAGCTCCCTCATTCGATCTTCTTTGATCTTCGCACTGCCGCTCAGCTCCTCCTCTCCAAGCTCCACCTCCTCGCGGTGATTGGCCACCTGTGTGCCTCTCCTGAGCTATAGTTCGGGCGGCCAATTACCGGTGAGGAGGCGGAGCTATTGAGTGATCCCGGGGGTGTTGCCAGATGACAGGGGTGGCATGTAATCCCGCCCACACATCGCAGTCCAGGGAAATGAAGACCCTGGACCTGCTGACTGGACAACCTCTCTACCCCTCCTCCAGCAGCGTGTGTTTTCTGATGGTCTTAGGCACCCCTGTAAAAGGGTCATTCGACCCTCAAAGGGGTCGCGACCCACAGGTTGAGAACCGCTGGTCTATAACAAAGGGGAAATTGTTCTGTAGTTCACAGAGATAGCTGAGAACAATGCTAACTGATAAGAATTCAGCACAGGCAAAAAACAAAGGAAGTTATCAGCTGACAAGATATCTGGCAGAATCAATGTGTATTTTTGCACTTATCAAACAGATATAGCAAAATCTTGTTAGAGTTTATGAACACTTTAAGACAGGCTCAACCTTTTGAAGAACACAAGCAACTTAAGTAATTTGCTAACTGCCCAGAGGCCACAATGAAGTGAAATAGTTCTAAATTTCTAATTTTGTATTTTGAATAGCATAATGAAGATTTTAAACAACAATTTGGATCATCATTTTCTGTAGGACCAAACCCCATTCAATGTTTAACCACTCTGTAATCACAATCACAAAAATCCACTTTTTTTTTATTAACTAAATTACCATTACTCTCACTCTCGCACTCAGGTGTGACCAGCCAAAAAAGCTCCAAACCAGTGTTACAGCCTTCACTATATCAGGGTCTTTTGCAGCCATCCCTTAAATTGACAAAAAAAGGACTGTGGACAATATAAACAAAAAGCAATAGACCAGGGAAGTGCATGCCCTAGTAGTGCAGTAAACTTCTTTATTAACCTGTTCCCACCAGCCGTACACATACAGTATATGCGGCCTCTCGGCGGGTGGGCTTCAACCCTGAGAGGACGCATATATGCTTCCCTATATAAACATTTTCTGTGCAAAAGTGTGCGCACCCTGCACACTCCCAGCACAGTTACCATCTCAACGTTCCCGTTGTATACTTGCAATCGTGAGCTTTCTGGTCATGTGACTGCTGTGACAGCCAATCACAGTGGTCACATGATCGGAATGTCCACCTCTGCCTCTCGCCATTTAGAACCTATGGCTGGGTGACAGCAGCAGGACAAATAATACAGTGAAAAGCTCCCGAAATTACACCAAGCTCATCCCACAACTGTGGGAATCCAACTTCAGAACTCCTGTATGGATGCCACTAGATGTAATCTACTCAGGATTATGGAGGACCGGCAATCATTTGGTGTGCACCTGAAGGAAGCTGTGTGGGTTGCCACAGGTTTGAGGTCACAGGCCACATCAGACAGCTCCGCTGGCCACATTTTGCTCACAGGGCACGTGCTGAGTATGCCTGCATTAAGACATCTTGTACTTTAGTGGGTATTTCATATTTGGAGAGTTACTCACACATGTAAAGGGATGACAGGGAGTACATTATTTTTTTTTACAACTCTGAAACTGATAATGTGCACACAATAAGAGCAGAAATTCCCACTGAGCATTTATCTTTTACCATGCTCTGGTTTTTCTTTTCCTCAGTAACTACAGGGCTGAAACAGGTAAGGGAGTGCAATAAAATTTGCTGAATTACTTATTTTCACTGGATAAGACTGGTGAAATGTAAGCAGGGCTGTACACTAAAGCCGCCTCAGCCCCCCCTGCTCTCACATGATAGCACCTCTGCCTTTTTACTGGCCAATGAGTGCTGTACCAAGCCCAGGGAAAGTGTCACTTGTTCCCCCATACCCAGAAGTACTAAATCTTTTTACTGGGCCCTGAGGGTTCATAATGGGAAACACTAGAAAGGTGAATGCAGGACAATTACTCTGTGTCTGATATAAAGTGAAACTGTTTATCAACAATGGGTGAAATACAAATTTACTTTCATTATTATTGGATTATTACAGGTTTAACTACATGTGTACATGTAGTTACAACAGGGCTGGAACAAGCCGGTTTGATTTGGGGATGTAGTAAAAAATGTCAGAGGGGCAGAGGATAGGAGGTCAGCTGAACAGAGGACAGGGGGCAGCAAGGGAGTGTACAGAGGTCAGTATGGAAGTGTACAGGGGTCAGTATGGAAGTGTACAGGGGGTCAGCAGGGAAAATTACTATAATATGTTCCTAAAGACAAACTTAGGCTTTAAACAGTATAAGCAATATGTAAGGAATAACAGTACTCATAACAAGCAATCTGCCTGGCTTTACAATTGAAAAGTCAAGACAGCATGACAAAATGTGAGAGACTAGGATTGTGAAAGACATGGAGCACCATGGGACAGAACAGAAAAGTTTTGGGGCTAGCTAGTGGGGGGTCTTAAAGGGGGATTGAACAGAATTTGCGCCTGCTGTATACAATGCACACATATACCACAAAATACTAGTTACTGTGCCACAACTGTCTCATAGACACAAATAAACCTCAGGACAAAGGATCTTTTTTTTTAATTATACGTTTTTTAATTATTGTTGTCTTTGATGGCCAAATGTGGATCAAAATTTGCCCGGTTCAGCAGGGACCAGATGAGTTTTGATCCATGTATTGTATGGACAGACTGGCTGTACAGTAGTCAACCTACCGACCAACTTCTGTACAACCAGTCTGTAGGAAAATTTCTGCTTGATTGGTGCCAATGTCTGTGGCCGGCAGCACTGGTCAGTGTATTCTGATGGTGGGGAAGACTCATCACTGTCAGAACACAATATCCCAGCAGTAGTGATTCCCCCATCCACCTTGAAAGTATGAATGGGGGAATCAGATAATTTTTTTGGTTCAATCTGCTGGTTGAATGAAAAATATGACTAATATATGGATTGCCTTACTGAGCCGACCTTAAAGGAGAATTTATTTAAAAACAGCAACTGTTAAGTCAATGAACATCTTGGTCAGGTCTATATATAGCATAATGTAGAGCGTACAAGGGTCAGGAGTAAGTAAAAAACAAAACAACATATGCAGCACTCAGGATGAGTGCTGTGTTCATATCAGAGTCCTCCCTTACATCAAGGTCCCCAGCATTCCCCCTATACATCAGCATCCAGCAGTGTCCCCCCTTACATCAGACCCTGGCAGAATCTGGCTGAGGGCCCCTTACATCAGAGTCTGGCAAAGTGCCCCCTTACGTCAGAATCTGGCGGAGTTTCCCTTTACATCAGAATCTGGTGGAACGTCCTCTTACATCAGAATCTGGTCGAATGCCCCATTATATCAGAATCCAGTAAATTGCCCCCTTACATCAGAATCCAGCAGAGTTCCCCCTACATCAGAGTTCTGCTGTAAACTGGACATGAAACAAACTGGTTAAGTGTGTGAAGTTCCTGGAAGAAAAAGGAAGGGGAAGGAGACAGATGGGGGAAAGAAGGGAGAGAGATGGGGAAAACTCAGTAGTAGTGTAGAGATTACTCACCTCAGGTTGCTCTCTGCAGGCTCAGACCGTGGCACCAATCATACAGCCAGATGGAACTGCTGGCTGTACTACTTCAAATGTCCCGCCAGACACAGAAGAGAGGGGCGGGGGGGAGGGCAAAAAATGATAAACCTATTAACAAGACAATTTTATGGTACAGTTCATAGAGGTCCGGACTAGGAATGATGCTCTGATGGACCTGATAATCTCAAACCATGCAGATCTTATTACTAATGTTCATATAAAAGAACATCTGGGCAGCAGTGACCATAACATGATCTCAATTAATGTTAGCTGTAAACAACAAGCACATACGGAAAATATAAATACACTCAACTTTACGAGAGCAAATTTTCCAAGGATGAGGGCTGCTCTCCAAGACTTATACTGGAAGGGAATATTGGCATTAAACACTGAACAGAAATGGGAGTTCTTCAAAAAGACTGTATGTGAACACACTGAAAAAGATATTCCTATGAGCAATAAATATAAAAGACTAAAAATAAAACCTATGTGGCTCAAGTCCAAAGTTTTAAAAGCTATAAATAATTTAAAAAATAATAAATAATAAATAAAATAAATATATAAAAATAGGAACGCTATCATCGTTTAAGTGTTACAAAGAATATAACAGAATATGTAAAATGGAAATCGGAACGCAAAAATTCAAATTGAACGAAAAAGAAAGTAGAACAATCCCCCAACATTTTTTCAAGTATAATAATAGTACAAAAGTCAGGTCTGAGCATGTGGGCCCTTTACAAAATAATCTAGAGTGGGTGACTGGGGACAAAGAGAAGGCACATTTATTCAATACCTTCTTCAGTGTATACAAAGGAGCAGGGGTGGACTGACAACTCATGGGGCCCCCGGGCAATAGGGGATCATGGGGCCCCTGTGTCCTTGCCCACACTCAAAGCACACCCAAAAAAGCCTATAAAAGGTACCAGGGGCATTTCATGGGGCCCCCTACTGACCCCGGGCCCTCGGGCAGTGCCCGAGTGCTCGAATGATCAGTCCGCCCCTGCAAAGGAGCATGGGGGAGCTCATGTCCACAATAGGGATAATATTGGCACAGCCCCAAATGATCCACAATGGCTCAAATTTTATATGGTTCAGAAATATTTAGACAGCATAAGGGTGAATAAAGCACCTGGACTGGATGGCATACACCCACTGATCC